TCCAAGAATGATTTGCATGAAAGGGATGAAGGGGAACTTGAAAGGACAGGCCAACCATTGAGTATATATGAACCTTACATTGGTGAGGGAACCTGGCCATTCTTACACCTAAGATCTCTTTATCGTGGAATCGGGCTGGTAAGCTCTCCAATTTGTCATTTCTTGTATTCATTTTAGAGACTTAGTTGAACATTATTTGGATGCGTATGTCCATTATGATTGTTCTGTCCAAAACAAATTGATATTAAAAGTGCATGCTACACAACCTGTGTTGCCACTTTGTTGTCAGATCCCTTGCTGTCAATTTAGTAGGGATTGTTTGTTTTAGATTTTCCTCTGACTGTTGCATAAACTAAATTCTTGTAGTCCAAGGGTCGAAGACCTAGGGCTGATGATGTTGAAGCACCTTCTCGTCTTCCACTTCTTAACAACCCTTATTATCGAGATGTACTTGGTGAACATGGAGCATTCTTTGCCATTGCAAACCGAATTGACCGTATACATAAGAACGCATGGATAGGGTTTCAGTCATGGAGAATAACAGCGAGGAAGGTATTGGATCTCTCTCTCTCTCTCTCTCTTTCTCTCTGTACACATCTTCCTGATGTTTATGTATTGATTGCCTTACATTTGTACACATGATTTCAGCAAGCTTCCTAGCATCTGGAAATACCCATATCTATATCTTTATCTTGTCCTCTTGATCTTGTTGGAAGTTTCATAGTGAACCATAGCAGTTTATACTCGTGGCATGTTGGAAGGCCATATTTGCTTTGTCAAAAGGCCTTGGAACCAGTAAAAGATCTAGGCTTTGTATTCCTTTTTAGTTTTGCCTTTTCAGAGCAGAAGAGGTATCTATGATAACAGTATCTTAGCCATCTAGCAAGTTTCAAAATATGTTTTCTAATCTCATTCTGTGTTTAAGCAATAAAAGTGTTGCAACATTATTGAGTACACGCATTGACTTAATTGAATGAACTGTCTAGCGGGGGCATTAAAAGATGATTGCATATGTACACTGTTAATAACAATAGGCATCATGTGTATGCAAACCAGTTGCATATGCATGATGGGCTAGGAAGCCTATGGTATTTCACCTCGTCATGTCAATGACTAATGTTGTTACTTGCACTTACAAATGTCATACAAGTCACGTCGCTTTAAAATGAAATCCACAAAGAAGAAAAGTAACAACAAATGAATTGTATGATAACGTTCTCTTCTGATAAATAAATTAAGCAGTGTGTGCACTGAATAGTTGTGGCTAGTATAACCACTTTTGGGGTATTCTTGGATCTCAGTCTCCAAATGAAAAGGAGAATGGAAAGTGACTAAACAAAAAAATGAATTCTTTTTATCTTTCTGCCATTTCTTTTATATATGATCCTTTATATCTAACATGGGGAATGGGGACTGGAACAGGCTTCGTTATCTGGAATAGCTGAAAATGAATTGTTAGAATCTATTCAAACACGAAGGCATGGAGATGCACTCTACTTTTGGGCACGCATGGATGATGATCCACGAAATCCTCTGAAACAAGATTTTTGGTCATTCTGTGATGGTATAAATGCTGGAAATTGCAAGTAAGACTGGTGATCCTTTATTTGATTCTTGTCATTAATACTTTTGCAGAACCTTCCCTTTCTCTCTCAAATGTGAGTTAGAGACTCTTTTGACTTAATTTTTCCACATGGTAATCTTAAGGTTTGCTTTTTCGGAGGCTCTTAAAAGGATGTATGGCGTAAAGTACAATTTGGAATTTATACCACCCATGCCTGTGGATGGGGACACGTGGTCTGTCATGCATAGCTGGGCTTTGCCAACGAAGTCCTTCCTAGAGTTTGTAATGTTTTCTAGGTAAGAAATATTGCACTTGTTGGCATCTATTCAGAAATGATGTACCGTAAGAAATATTGCACTTGTTGGCATCTATTCAGAAATGATGTACCATACAATCTACTGTGAAAGCTATTCTTTAAATGTTAAAGTGAACTTCTGGGTGTGCAGAATGTTTGTAGATGCAATGGATGCACAAATGTATGATGAACACCATTCAAGTGGCCGCTGTTATTTGAGTTTGTCAAAAGTAATTTGCTTGTGCTTGAATAATTTTCTTCCTACTGATAAAATTTTCTTTTGCTGTATTGTACTAATGTGTGCATCTGCAAATTGTAGGACAAACATTGCTATTCACGGCTTCTTGAGTTACTCATAAATGTTTGGGCGTACCACAGTGCGAGGCGGATGGTATATGTGCACCCTGAGACTGGGGTGATGCAGGAACAACATGGGTTTAAGAGCAGGAAAGGTCATATGTGGATCAAATGGTTCTCATACTCCACCCTAAAGAGCATGGACGAGGACTTGGCCGAGGAATCAGATCTTGAGCACCCCAGAAGGCGGTGGTTGTGGCCATCAACAGGCGAGGTCTTCTGGCAAGGTATGTATGAAAAAGAGAGACATTTACGGCATAAGGAGAAAGAGAATAGGAGGAAGAAAAGTAAGGAAAAAATAAACAGAATAAGGAGGCGAACTCACCAAAAAGCAATCGGGAGGTATGTAAAACCCCCACCAGAAGCCACAGATAGTACGAACATAACAATTGTTACGAGGATTTGATGGTTGAATTTGATTTTTACGGATTAGGAACTCTGGAAGTAGAAGCCCAATTTGATTATTCTTTTTTTTCGTTGCCCTCTAGTTTTAATTTTTGTGAGGAAGGGTGTACTTAGTTGTAATCTGTATGAGGTTTTGTATGTAAAAATGAAAATGCACCCTTTCTTCTGGTCATTAGTGTCGACGAGTGGCGGTAAATTTGTAAAAGTATTACTTTACACTTTCTCTAATCCCATTTGTTCATTCTCTCGGTACAGTTTTAACGATAACGGTAAATACGACTAGGGTGAAGTCGAATTTTTGATTATTTCTGATGCAATTTTCGGAGCTTGTGAATGTGACCTCAAATTTTCGACACGAAAGATATATGTATATGTTTATATTTTTTGGATGAAATGATAAATTTTGTTAGATTAAATGTTAGATTAGTCATTGACGGGATTTGAACTCACGTTGTCATACAATGACTTAACATTTTTTTACCATTGTGGTAAATGGCTACTTGCGACGTGAAAGATACTTCAAGCACATATTTTGTTATTCTTATTTCATCCCCCAAGTTCTCACTCATGTCTCAGACTTCATTTGTAAGCATGCCATTATTTCTTGTAATCAAATCAACGGAGTATGAAATGACAAAACTAAAACGGACAAAAGTCGCACAATACAACCAACTCATATCACTAAAATTGAGCGTACTTGTATAAAGCCCACAAAACCTAAAACCAGCACCCTTACTGTGCATTGCATCCCACAAGCTTCTCACACCTCTCTATTTCTAGCCACCGTATTGAATTAAATCAAATGAAAACAACATAATGAATTAAACAGAGGTGTGTGAGAAATTAAAATTGATGTGTGTTTACCGTTTCCCTGTATATTGTCGAATAGTTGCCACAATTTTGTAGTTCAATAATTACACCAAAACCAGAGCTGCAATGTAGTTCAAACTCTGAATAAATGTTGGTTCGGAAAACAAAGTTTTAATAGTTTGTTAGGATAATGTGTTTGGTTAAATAATAAAACAAATTAAAATGTGCTATACTATTATTTGCATACTTGTAATTGACCCGTTTTTACCCTTTTTGTTTTGATTGAATATGAATTACGCTGTCTCAGTTTGTTTATTATTTCGTCTCAATCACGTTACAAAGAGGTGTATATTGACAAGTAAATTACAAGCTGAGGCAACAAGTGACGTACAAATCAAAGTTATGACAATACAAGTGGAGATGTATTAACTGGACTTAGTAATTTATTATCTTGAAATTATTAGATTACAACTCACAATAATTCACTGACTTGCAACTTATGATGGTTTCCTAAGTTATCAGGGATGCACTACTCTTGACAAAATTTGGATAGTTACACTTTAACTACGTCATCCGTAAGTCCCACATATGCATGGGACCTCCTATATTTTGGTCTCGTCCGGTGTGAGAGATTCACCAGTAGCGCAGCACTATGAAATTTCTCATCTACTTGTCCAGTTCGTCTGTCATTTTGTCACAAACAAAATACAACGAATTGTATACACTTTGCCAAAAGGTGATAGACACACGTAAAAAACCGTGTTGACCCAAAAAATATGCGTGTCATCAGATGAGTGGTCAAAAACAATTATATTCGGCAAAATCTGATGGAATTTATGGTTCAATTTGCTTGATTCAAAACTAAGGAGCCGCATTGCATTCACTGTTTAGCAGCGCAGATCCAACTTTCCATAAGTAGGTAGCAATGGACATTTGCATTTTGAATTGTGGTTTTTTTTTGTTTGCAAGGACATTTGCATTTTGATTTAGTATTTGAAAAGAATTAATTTGTTTTTAACTTTGTATAACCATTTTAGAAGACGTATTTGAACGCAAGCATGCAAAAAACAAGAAAACTTGATTTGCTATTCAAATGATTTGGTATTCCAAATTGTAAACTGGCATAAGTTGAAACCACCCGTATGATTTTAGTAATAAATTTAAGCGGAATAGAACCAAATCGAACTGCTGATATTTTCTTAATTCGATTCTAGTTTGAGGGCCGAACTGCATCGTGCCCACCCCTACTTTCCACTCAGATCTCGGCTCCTCAAATAGTTTTCTAACTCTTGTTGCTGAAAATCACTCATCCTCCAAAATTTGAGCTCTACAAGTCTTTTCATATCTACTGCATTACCGGTTACACCAACCATTCTCCGTGCATTTGAAGTACGCAACTTCATAAAGGCCGTTCTTGTCAAACTATATATACAGGAAGGCGTCTTAAAATTATGTGATAAACCCTGCTTTTGTTGTGGGATGCATCATGGTTATGCTATTTGTTTCCTGTCTGGTGAGTTTTGAGTTGATTAAACACTATAGAACTGAACATGTGGCTGCACACTTGCATTAGACAATCGAAAAACGGATATAATTACTACAGTTCAGAGTTTCACACGTAAAATCATAACACTAAACACTGCTACAAGTGCACTTCGATTTCTTCTCTTATAACTGTAATAAAGAAACGTTAGAAACGTTTACAAGTTCCTATGAAGAAATTCACCTAACCCAAAAGTGCACAATTCAGCCTTGATGAACTGCATTCTTCAGAATCGGAGTAGAACTAGTCTTTGCTTTGTAGAGGTCACACGCCAATCATCAAAATCTTGGAGCTGCAACAAAACAAAATGTTTTATGTTACCTCAAGTAAACTAGTTACATTTCGAAAAACCGGCCATAAGATTCACATTAGATTTGTTCTAAAAACACTTCAGTGTCGACATTAATAAATAATAGCACAAGCCCATAAACTTTCCGAACAACTCAATCTGGCTAAAAATCTTGCAATAAAACAGCATTTGGCAATTAACAATACTTATGTGAGTTTTGGGTATCTAAGCCTACCTCCACCTATGGTTGCTTCTGGCAACCGCTCAATTGAATACTTGTGTTGAGTGATGTACATGATTGGCACACCAGGGACCTACACTTAAACAAGCAAAGTTATGGAGTTGTTACATTAAAGTCGTAGCGTCGCTTAAAATGGTTCTAAATTGTTATTCCACCTTTCGGATCCTTCGCTTTAAATCTCGATCGCATGTAGCAACAATGTAGCATTTGTGCTGTACCCAATAACAAGGTCAGTCAATGTCAGTCATAAGAATGCATCAGAAAATTTTGATAAGCTGCAACTGGAATCAACAAAAGACCACAATCTGGCCAGTAAATTTATCCAGAATGTTAACAAGAAGAGAGAATAGACAGAACAGACAATCAAATGATGCACATTCAGCCTATGCAAAGTGTAACTTTGAAATCCAAAAATATAGTCTTTATCGAACTGCTTCAGAAGAGAAAATATGCATTTTTTGTTTCGAAAGCCATCTAACTTTCAATATACCATTTTACAATCCAAGAAAGAAGAAATTAAAGTTGAGCTACGGCAACTTTCGTAGGGATAAATCAAGAAAAGTTCAACCAATATATTTTAGATAGCAACTATTTATTATACTGACTATAATACAACATGATAGCCTTAAAGACTCTACTTCACCATTCCAACTCCCCCAATTCCTGACTAGAAAGAGGGGTAAAGACTCCAAAGAGCAAAACAGGAAAGTGCAGTTACTGAGTGTAAATTGTACCTGGGTAACTCTTTCAACAATACAGTCATCAGCATAGGTTCCTTTATGAGTGCAGAGTAGTCTCTCAAAACGAGGATCCTTGGCAATCCTGTCAGAACAGAATAATTTTTTTGTTAGTAACGCAATCTTTTGGAGAACTGAAGAGCATAAATTATTAAAGCTACATAATATATCAGTTATCTTAGAACCTGACAAACCGGAAAAAAAATCAAAATCGAATAATTAGAAAATGTAAAAAGAAATAGTATAAAATGAGTAACAGGACAATGAACATAGATATTAGTACAGCTCATGCATATGCACATCCAACAACTTCAAACCTTCTAACAATGAAATAAAGGAGGTACCAAAGTTCAGAAGATACCTCAGAGCCACACGATATTTCTGACCTAACTTCTCAAGCTCTGCCATTACACAGTCCGTGATACAAGGAGTGCCTGCCAATTCAAAAGAGAAACAGATAGTAAGCTACCAATAGAGCAGCATTTGCAATCAAGACGTGGTACAGATTTCTCGTAATGAAAATCAGCATTCGAAACCAATTTCTCTGGGGAGACTGAAAATTTATACAAGTCAATAAACGAGTGATTTAAGACTCACACTTTGCGTACAGGCAATCCATCATTCCTTTCTCCAAATCCAACTGCACAAAGTGAAGGAGAAAAACAGTCAACTATGACCACTACCGATACCTTTAGCTCATCAAAAAAGCAAAATGTGATTAAACTTACTGAAAAAGTCCACCATGTATCAAGATTTTCAACCATAAACACGCAGATGTATAGAAAAACTTCCGTTGCAAATCAAAACATAATTTTAGTAAAACGATGAAATGTATAATGTCAACAATTAGCATTTAAACACTAACCTTATTCTGGATAGAGAAATTGATGAAGTTGGTATCAACCAAAACCCGGTAAGGCGGTCCCAAAGCAGTGTTGTGTTTAAAGAACAGCGCAGAAGAAACATTCGGCCTAAATCACAAGACCAAACTAATTATGCTAAACCACTAAACCTCTAATTAAAGAATTAAAATAAACATTAAACTCAAAGAAAAACTTACACGTTTCTGGGTAGCTTTTCTTTCGTGAGGTCCTTCTTGTTCGGATTCAAAACCGCCTCTTTGTAGCTGAATTCAAAACACAGCAAAAATCGAATAAAATCCCAACTTTTTGGGCAGAAAATTGAAGAAATAAACACAAATAAGAAATAAACTATGAAAAGTTTTTACCTTTTAATTGCTTTGGAGGTGACCACCTTCTTCATGACTGCAAATTTCGGGCCTTTTTTAGCTCTCCCCATCTTCCGAATCACAGAGACAACCAAAGTTTACAGATTTGGGATTTGCACAAAAACCCTAAACCCTATTTTTATAGTGTTCTCTGAATAAACCCTACTAAAAGCGACGAATAGAGGCAGCTCAATCTGCAGTCGGTTAGTCAGGGAGGGAGAAATAAGGAGACGACGACGAGACGAAACGAAACACTCGCTTGTCCCCAAGCCTACCGTGGGTTTAGACCTAAGACGCTAATGTGGGCTTGGGCTTCAATGGTGAGTTATGATTTGAGAGTTTTGATCGTTTGGTCTTAAAGTCGAGTCACGCCTCCTTTTGTATAAGATTATCTTCAAACATATCATCGTTCAAAATTATAGCCTTATAAGAAATTATTTTTAAATGAACAATGTTAGATCACTCATATACCACTTTCAACTAAAGTGGACCATCAATAATTTATTAATTTTAAGTTTATACTTCAAATTTATTGGTTAATTTAATTAAATTACCGTTTGATGTTTTTAAATCTAGCCGTTGAACTTGAATCAATTATTACACCAAAGAAGTTGAGCCCAAAAAAAGAGGCTAAGAAAAATGTGGGCTTGGGCTTCAATTGTGAGTTATGTTTTGAGAGTTTTGATTATTTGGTCTTAAAGACGAGTCACGCCTTTCTCTGTATAAGACCATCTTCACACATAGTGTCGTTCAAAATTATAGTCTTTTAAGAAATTATTTTTAAATGAACAATGTTAGGTCACTCATATACCATCTCCAACTAAAGTGGACCATCAATAATTTATTAGTTTTAAGTTTATACTTCAAATTTAATGGTTAATTTAATTAAACTACTATTTGATATTTTTAAATTTAACCGTTGAATTTGAATTAATTATTGCACCAAAGAAGCTGAGCCCAAAAGTAGAGGCTAAGAAGAAGGCTATAATTGGTTAGCCCGTTGGCCCTTTGGTTGAATAATGATCAGGATGGCTCCATAGTATATATGCCAGCCATCCATTGGAGATGGATTTGTGGGCAAATCAGACCATTTTTAAGTTTTTTAGACCATTAACCTTCTCTATTGGACATTTCTAAGGTCATCTCTTATCAAAGGGCTAAAAATCATCTCTAATTGAAATCTAAGCTAAAATTAAGCGGAGCCCACCAGGTCGAAAGGGCGTCGGGCTGGCTAAGCTTGCCTTGATACCCAACCCGTTCGGCAACAATTACATATCCAGCATTGCATTGCATGGCTTCTGCTAAACCTCCAATGGACTAGATCCTGGTTCTGAAAATAATCACATATATTGTTCTGTTATGGCATTTATTTTAATTATCTGGTTTTGAAAAATAAAAATCTATATAACTTATTCATAAATATATCATTTTATTCATAAGTTTATCGCAGGTACATACAACTCATGTATTTAGTTGCAGCACAAATATTTTGACAACATTAGTGTAAGAACTAAGACTATTAATTAGGAATTTCCTTCTGTGATTGCGAGAGTTTAGAGAAGTCTTTGGAAATGGACTCCATGTTTTGTTCCACGGGAGTACACCTACAAAAGCCATTAATGCATTGACAGAAGCCAATTACGCAGTCTCCAGCATCTTGCATCGAGGGTCCGGTTGGAGCTTTGCTCCCACGTCAAGTTGTACACCTACAACAAACGTTTCCTTGATTGTTAACAAGAAAAATCAATAATAATATGCCATATATGTGTATATATGTGTGTGTGTGTTGATTGAGAGACAAGTATTTTACCAGAAGATGCAACAAGCAAGAGCACGATGAGGAAAGCTAACTTCACTGAACCTTTCTCCATATTTCTTCAATTTGTTGACAGCTAGAGCAAGGGAAGTACAATAGTTGTAGACTTGTTGTGCGCTGTATAAAACTTATTTCTGGATATTAGTGTTCTCCAAATCTACTATTATATATAGCTGAAGCTTAGAAATGTTTTTTTAATTGCATGTATCTCCATAAGTTTGAATTCAATGGGCCATTCATGCGTGGAATTTTTACTTTTTGTAAACAAAATAAATCATCAAACACTAATGGTAAAAACTTCAGTAATTCAGATTACAAACTATATTAATTATAGGGCTATTAGATTTTAGGACATAAGTAAGATTACTTTTGGATTATAACCTGCATGGTTTTCTCTATCCAATTTAAGTTCCTATTTTAAAATCTTAACACCATGTCATATTTAATTGCCTCTATCACGTATACTATTTACAAACTTGCCATCCACATTTTCCTATTCAATTCATAATTAAGACTAAAAATTGGAAATTTACTTTCACACTCAAATCACCCATTAATACACTTAAATCAAAATTCTACAATTTTAAAATTTTTGGAAAGTACTAATAGGTACAAGAAAATAAATGAAATTTTTTATATTGATTAATTGTGAATATAAACGTGAAAGAAATGACAAAAATACATTACAAAAGAATAGCAAAACATCATCACTAACACAATTCCCATCTCCATAAGAAAAAAGAACACCCATAAAAATTATAAGTACATTAACAAAGTGCTATACATGGGTACGGAAGTATAAGTGCATAAGCATAGGTTCGGAAGTATAAATGCATAGGTATAGGTACGGAAGTATAACGGCATAAACATAGGTGCATAAATATAAATGCATAGGCATAGGTACGGAAGTACAAGAGCATAAACATAGGCACACAATTTCGATATGCAAACTTTACTCCATGTATCTTTATATAAGTACACAAATGATAGATTTAAAAATATGTACTTGTCAATCTCTATAGACAAAAAATTATCATACACGAATAAATTAGGGGTGGGCATGGGCCGGGCCAGACCCAATTTTGGAGGGATCGGACCAGACCTAGGTGCAAAGGAGACGGGTGGGGAATAACAGATTTTAATATAGGAACTAGACCTAACCCGACCCGGTTGAAACGGGCAGGGTCCACGGGTTCTTGGTTTTTTTTTTTTTGGTTATATATATTTTAAAAAAAAATTAAAAATAAAAAATAAAAACTAACATTTGCACATATCCAAATTCATTCCCAGCAGATTCAAATAAATGAATATGGAAAAATTAGTCTCTGTTGAAACTTGTCCAAAATAAATTTAAAAAAAAAAAAAAAAAAAGGTGTCGTGGTCTGCAAATTATTTAACAAACCAGTGAAGCTCTTCCCATTAATATTAAGGTCTACATCAAAACAAGACTATACTCCAATCAGCAGAAAAAAAAAAAAAAAAAAAAAAAGACGAAAACATCTGTAACTCACAACCAGATGCTACAGAACACCAATCGAAACTAAATGACTTCTCCAGTTTTACTGTAGATATACCACAAAAAATTGCATCACCTCTGCTCTATATAATTTTAATATTTTACTCTAAAACTAATCTCATAAGAAATGGCAATGCTAATCAATGTATTAAAAGCGTGAGGCGTGGGCGAGGCGTCCGAGGGGAAGCCCCGCCTAGGCGTGAGGCGTGAGGCGAAGCCTCATGGAACCTAAAATTTAAATATATATTATATGTAAGTATATTTATAACAATATAATACTTTGTAAAAACAAATATAACTATAACTAAATCAAAGATAAAATCATCTTCTTTATTACTAGGTCTCGTTGTACTTGGAAACTATGTCATATAGTCTCAAAATGTTATAATTCTTTATTTTATTGTAAGCAATTACAGAGAACTTCAAGGAAAATAAGGATGAATGGTCACAATTATAGGAAAATTTCAATCAAAAAATAAAGGCTTAATGTTGCAATTATAAGTAATTTAAAAGGAAATAAAGGCTGAGTGAAGTAGTTATAGGGTATTTAAAATGATATAAAGCAATAATTATGGGAATTTGAGGAAAATAAAGGGTTGAGTGGAGTATTTATAGGGTATTTAAAATGAAATAAATGGGCTGGAGTATTTATAAGGTATTTAGAATGAAATAAATTACGAAAATAAAGAGTTGAGTGGAGTATTTATAGGGTATTTAAAATGAAATAAATGGGCTGGAGTATTTATAAGGTATTTAGAATGAAATAAATGACGAAAATAAAGAGTTGGGTGGAGTATTTATAGGGTATTTAAAGACAAAAATTAAAAAACAAACTCAGCCTAAAAAACCCTAGCCGCTGTCTTCATCTCCATCTCCATCTCCTTTGCTAGTTTCTTGGTCTGCAACTCAAAAACAGCCCTACAACTAAAAGAAATCCAGATTTCTGCAACCTAAAAAAGAAAAAGGGGCGCCCAGTTGACGCCTCAGGCGCCTAGACGCGCCCCGACGAGCCTAGGCGAGTATTTCGCCCACTCCCACAAAACAGAGGCGAAAATGGTGAAGCCCCGCCTCCAAGGGCGCCTAGGCGCACCCCGAGGCGAGTTTTTTAAAACATTGATGCTAATAACACTTAGGAGTTTGTCTTACATGTCTGGTATCACTCTGAAGGAAGTCCATCAATGACTTTTTCACTGAGAGAATAAAATGCTTGCAAGTAAGATTGTCATTGACAAGAGAAGCCAGTTCCTCAACCTGCATTTCGGTAGCATTCTAGTATGAAATATCGAGATTCAAACACGAACTCCCGCACTCAAAGCATATCATATGTATACAAATGAAAAAGATTGGTCTAATCTGATGCTTGGACATTATTTTTTAAAATTCTCCCAGAGGTGTCAATGTGCAGATTTAGCAGAAGAAATGATTTATGCAACAGCTCTCTTAAAATTACATAACCTTATATGGGGTTTGATATACAGCTTACTGTGTTCAGGGTTTGAACCCTCCCTAGTCCCTACTCCCTAGCCCCTGCTTCCTAGTTTAGATTAGTAATATGGCTTTGTAATCAAAAGGCTTAAAGCATTAACATTTTAAATAAGATGCTTGAAACAAAAAGGGAAAGAATAAAGTTGGCGTCTTTTCCCAAATCCCAATTTCTCACATCCCTAGCACAATTCAACAAACCAGTGAAGCTCAGCTGGCGTCAAATTTACCAGCTATAGTTGCATTTCATAGTCTAGTATGGAAGAAAACACATGATCCATCAAATGGCAGGAATTCAATACATCCAAACCAACACAAATCGCCTTAGGTTGTCTAGACCGGTTGCCAGAAGGATTTTGTTGGAGCAGTTATGTTTTTATTTAATAATATATATGTTTATATATATATATATATATATATATGTGTGTGTGTTTTTTTATTATCAATATTATATAAATAACGTTTGTTTTATTATCATT